TGAATCCGCTCATGCCAATAAATCAATATTTAAAAAAGCGCTACTCATATTTTGTGTGGGTAACAATTTTTTCTTTTTTTATTATTCGCATGTTGTAAAACAGTCATCACACGGGCAGGTTTGTTGTAGAAGAGTTCGTGTTCATATAACTTTCACATTTTCCATTCAAATATTTAATATATCAAATGCGTGAAAGATTTTTATTGAGCAAGTTGACAAAAATTATGTAATTATGTTTGAGTTGTCATTATTCAAACAATCCAATGACTAGTCCCTTTGGAGCCCATGTACACTGACCAAACTTGGTTTTTGTATTCTTTCATTGTGATGCAGCTTGTCGTGTTATTCACTTGTTTCTGCTTGTTGCAAAATAATGCCAAGTTGATCCTGAAAATTTTTATCAAATAAATAGATTGCAATAGTTTAAAAATTTTAAAGATATAAGTTTGTTAATAAAGACCTGTGCAGAGTCAGCTGAGAGAAGGCCTTTTTCGTAAGGTCTAGGTGGGTAGGCATCAAAATATTAATGTAAATATTTTTTTTAATTTGAACTATTAACCTTTCATTAATTTTTATTAACATGCCCTTGTTAAACTGTCTAAGTGTCTACACAGCTTATTTGCAACAGTATTTGCATTCACTGGACGACATTGAACTTAAATAAGTCTCGCATTATTTAAGATTCCCAGTGTCAATTATAAAATTAAACTTTAATCTTTAGTGATTTTTCAGTTTGATTCATATAAAATAAGAATAAATATTTGAGTAGAAAACTTCCTTTGTAAAAATGTGTTTAATTTAAAGTAGTTCCAATGAAATTAACCCTACAAATAAATTATTTAAAGCAACTATGATTTGTATCTGTGCAATAAAAAATTGTTTTACAAGTTATATTTCATTCTTTCAACAAACAGGAAATAAGCGACCAACTAACATACTGAACCAATTAACTTCATGGTTCAATTCATAATTAAGATCTTAATTTCTACATTTGTTAATGAATACTCATGTTGGAATCGTATTTGCATGGGAAAATAAAGGGAATATTTAAAAGCCTACTTTTACTGTTTTCTCTTTCACCAAAACTTTGTTTTCGTTTTTTAAGCCAATAAGTAGCGAAGACAACGTCAATGCTGTTTCTTGGGTTTGGATGCAGTGGCGGTGCTAGACAGCCTTCGTGAGTTATTCAACTTTTTTAAATTTAAACTTGCTTCATCATATCGACGACCACGACGTACAAAATTATCACATGTTAACTTTTCATGTTAATCAAATTGAAAACTTAAAAAAATTAATTTTGTGGGTGTTTTGTTTAAAACAACATTTTTTAGATATCAATAACCAGTTTGTTGTGTTTTTATACCTTGTTTCACATGTGCGATAAAAATTAAATATGCACCTGTGGAGATGAGCCTTTGTATGCTGTCATTTTCATTATCATGATTTCCAGCATGCTTCTTTACGAGCTTCCCTTTGATGTTGAGTTTGCACATACGTTAAAAAATATTTCAATTGAACAATATATGAATAAGTCAACTTGAATTGAAAATTTCAATTCCGGGAGGTCCGAAGTTTTGACTCAAAGCGATCAACTGGCTGAACGCCTCACTTTTGTAATGACTCCTGCAAAAATTCATCTGCTCGGGAGCTGTAAAACAATGTGTATATATATATATATATATATATATATATATATATATATATATATATATATATATATATATTCATATATATGCGAAAATAAGGTTAATATATCATTTTTAAATAGGTTAAACTAAAATACGGTAATTATTTTTTTAGCGGCTTTAAATATTTGTTTAATAAATTTAAAAAACAAGCAAAACTTAAATACTACAAATATCTGAATTTAAACAAATGTCTTATAGTTAGAAAGTGGCTATTCAAAACAAATGTTTACAAAGCAACAAATTGAAAATTTGAAAAACAGCTTTACAAGTAGAAAGTTGGAATTTAATCTTTTCTCCTGCGTGTCCAAAGCAGTCGGAGCTCCAGAAGAGAAAAATATCGTTGCCAAATCCTTCGGAGTTGATTGTGATTGGCGAGGATTGTGCGCCGACGGTGTTATAGATGTAGGGGTAAATTAGTGGCAATCCATTTTTTCCATTTATAACAGTGGTCTACGCAAACAGTTTATAAATATTCAAGTCGATTAAAAACTCAACAAACAAACGAATAAAATAAAACAGCATTTATTTGCCAACCAAGGTGTAAAAGTAGTTAGGATAGCCTCGACCGACCTGCCACTGAACTAAAAAGTCGACTGTCGAATCGTTGTTGTAGAATCCAGGAGCCGGTGTTCTGTTTAAATTTTTGAATTGTTGAGTAATATGTTTTATTATAAAAAGAATAAATAAATAGATAAATAAAAATTATTATAAATAAACAATAAAAAATAAATAAATAGCATAATAGATTAATAGTAAAAAAAAACATTTTAGACAGATATGCCGTTTTCTTGTACTTCCAACATAGCTTGTCTGTTTACATTGCGCGGTGATCCGCTTTGAATGCAGAAAGAAACAAAACGGCATGGACCCGGATCGAACGTTACAAGTATTGTATAATGTAATTAAAATGCTAATTTATTTTATCAAATTATTGAATTTAAACCAATCAATCAAAATTTACTTAAAGTTAATCAGATAAATTCTTTGTATAATATATAGCAAAACAAACAACGGGCATAACAATAAAAAACCAATTGGCCAATTATTATTGAATAATAAAGGATTCTCTGCATATGGAGAACGGGCTCCTGAAACGGAAATGGGAGTCCACCGACTGAGCAAAACATACGATGCAGACGATAATACCCCGAAGCAAGACAGAAGACATTATTAAAGAAATGCATGGAAGGCCGACTGAAGGACACCTGGGAGTCAATAAAACCTTGACCGGATATGGACAAAGTTCTATTGGGTTCGCGCACGACAAGACGTGGAAGCTTGGTGCAGGCATTGCACCACCTGTGTTGCGGTTAAAGGACCCAAAAACAAAGTCAGAAGCCCCCTCCAAGTTTACAACGTGGGAGCACCATTTGAACGGAATGCAGTGGACGTTGCAGGCCCCTACCCAGTATCAGAGAAGGGTAACCGATATATGCTCGTTGTAACAGATTATTTCAGCAAGTAGCCAGCAGTCTATCCGATACCCAACCAGGAGACCCAGACGATAGCGGAAAAAATCATAGCCAACTGGGTTACTCAATTCGGGGTTCCTTTAGAACAACATTCGGACCTAGGGAGGAACTTTGAACCCCAGATAGTGGGAGAAATGTGCCGGATCCTTGGAATTAACAAAGCAAGAACGACACCACTTCACTCAAAATCTGACGGCATGGTTGAACGGTTCAACAGACCATCATACAGCATTTGGCCAAGGTAGTCGACGACAACCAACGGGATTGGGACAAACACATCCCCTTGTTTCTAATGGCATACCAAAGTGCTGTGCACGCCACGACCAACAAGACTCCCTCACGGATTCTATTCGGGGACACCATACGGACATCTGCAGACATCAAGTACGGTATTTCCCAACTAAACCCGCTGCCAGTAACCTCGTACGTGGAAGAACTTCACAAACGGATGGATTACATCTAAAGGAATGCACGGACCAAGATAAAGCAAAATACAAAAAGAGTCAACGAGAGGTACAACGTCAAAGGGGAGAAGGCCGGATTCCAAAGTGACAACTTGGTTTAGCTATACAACCCGAAACCCAAAAAGGGGCGCTGTTCGAAGCTCTAAAAGAATTTGGAGGGACCGTACAGGATCATCACCAAGATCAACGACGTGGTGTACCGAATCCAAGAACACGGTAAACCTCGAGCAAAGCTACCACATCACTTGCTACAAAGTGTTTAGAAACCATGTGGTCTGCTACCATGTAGTCTGCTACCAAGTGATCTACCCTGCTATCTGCTACCACGTGATCTGCTATCACGTGATCTGCTACCACGTGATCTGCTACTATTTCGTCTTCTACCGCATGATTTGCAGCCATGCCGCCAAAACTGCACACAAAATGCGATCGTTTCAAACAACATAACGTGAAACGCAAATTATTTCACCGTTTTTCCGAACAAGCTGCTGTGCTACCATGTTGTCTGCTACCACATCATCTGCTACTTCGTGATCTGCTACAAGCTGATCGGCTGCTGGTGACATACCACTAGGTCCACCACCATATCGTCTGGTACAACGTGACCTGCTACCACGTGATCTACTTCCACATGATCTGCTACCACGTGATCTACTACCACGTGATCTGTTACCACATGATCTGCACTATGTGATCTGCTACAGCGTAATCTACTTCCACATGATCTGCAACCACGTGATCTGCTACCACATTATCGGACGCCATGTGATCTGCTACATCGTAATCTGGTACCACGTGATCTTCTACAACGTGTTCTGCAACCATGTCGTCTGCTACAATGTTGTCTGCTACCACATCACCTGCTACAACGTGTTCTGCTTCAACGTGTTCTGCAACCACGTGTTCTGCCACCACGTGTTCTGTGACCATGTTGTCTGCTACCAAGTGATCTGCTATCACGAGATCTCTTACCACGTGATCTGCTACCATGTCGTCTGCTACCGCATGATCTGCAGCCATGCTGCCAAAACTGCATCTAACATAGCGTGCACCGCAAATTATTTCACTATTTTAACGCCCAAGGTACTCTGCTATTATGTGGTCTGCTAAATCGGAAAATTGTACTCGGAGTCGGATATTTTTGAAGGGCCGGAGTTGGAGTCGGATTCGGATTCGGATATTTTTCATCCGACTCCGACACACTTATTATAACAGTATCAGGTAAATGAATTTAATACTTTTGAAAAAATGTTGAGGATATTCAAAAATAAACTTTTGCTTTCATTTATCGCTCTGGTCAATTGTATTTTTCAAGTTTTATAAAAATATTTATTAGTGTAAATATTTTGTTGAAGGTGGTTGATGAAACAATTAGTTCAATAGCAGTGACGTAAATCTGTGAAATATTTAACAACTAAGCAATGTGAAAACAACATATCGGTAGATGGAACCAACGAGTATGTTTCTGAATCTTGAAATGCGAACGACCAGATTTTTTCATAAGTATCGCCGTCCAAAGCCAAAACAGTTGAGTTGAAATCGCAGAAGACTATGTCCTCAATAAGATCGCCATTCAAATCAATCATGATAGGTGGTGTCATAATTCCTTTGTGTTTTGCTACATAAATCTGTTTTGCCTTTTGAAATGCAAATTCAATTTAACTTATAATAAGATTTATTTTTAAATTTTGAAACATTGTTCCAAAAAAATGGAAATTCCTAGTATTTTTTAACAATTTAATGACAACGTCTTATATTCATTATTTATAATACTGTTTATGACCAATTGTAATGTAAGCCAAAATAAAAGATAAAATTTCTAATTTCAGCAATTGTTTCAATTTAACAATATAATTTTTATATTTGGTTGAAACAAACAAATATTAGATGTGATTGCAAAGTGCTTTTCAAAAGGTGGGTGGATGACCGATGTTTTTGACACAATCGCATTCTAAATCAATCATGATTCATTGAGTTCAGTGGGGAGGATTCTATGGTGGGATGCAGACATACATCCCTTGCCAGACCATGAAAGAAGAAAATATCGATGATTTCGTGTAAATTTTACTAATAAAGTAAAAGGAAACAAGCAAAAAGTCATTATAAAGTCATTATAAAAGTCATTAATGTCATCAATTTAGAATTTTGAAAATCATCCAGCGTTGTAAATTTTAAATTTTTTTATTTTTTTTTCTGAAAATATTATTTTAAGATTGTGTTTTTGTATAACAATATGCATTCAACTTTGATACTGAAAATAAATGCTAATAAAATCGTAGAATTTTCTTTAATTATGGTTTAAAACATAAATGTAAATTAACTTATTAAAACAATTTCATTGACTGATTTTAAATGCTTTTAAATCACTTTTCCTTTACTAGTGATATTGAAGTAAAATTATGATGCAAAGGTTGACAATATTTTTCTGGAAGTCAGAACCCGGAGTCGAAGTTGAAAGTCGGAATTTTCTAAGAGGCCGGAGTTGGAGTCGGATATTTTTTATCTGACTATGATTAAAATAATGGTGATTTTGTTTATTTACAGTGCAATTCATATATGAGATTTTATTACAAACCTGGGAAACATTTTTGGTGAGCAGATCTTTGATGGACAAAATCCACAAAGAACCGTGCTGAGTTTCACCGCCGGTTCCAAAAATTAACTTTTGATTATTTTTAAAAGTTTGCAATATCGGAGAATAATAACTTTCTTTCTGGTCTGGAACAGTTGTTTCAATAAGTACTACTCCAGATCTGCCGCTCAGTACAACTATCTTTCCAGAAATCCTATTTGAATCTTTGAAGAGTAAATTTATTTTTTAGTTTATCTTACAGTAATAATATTTAAATTTCCAAATGTAGTATTAAAAATTAGTATTAAATTTTATATGATTTTTTCCCTTTTGTTAACTAGTAATCGTACTGTATCAAATTGGATTTGTTTTATAACGGTTGGTATTTGGATATATGTATAGGTGACGTGTACATAAATTGTTGGATGATAAAAAAAGAGAAATTGAATTGCGGTGGTCATTTGATGAATTGATGTATCAAAACAGGTTCTTGTGAATGTGCTTTTAAAAACTTGTTTTTTTTTTTATTTATGTTTCCGTGTCGTGGTTTAGGTATTCGAAAATATAATTTTGCACTGAAATGTAAATATATGCGTATCCAGGAGGAAATGTCCAAAAACTGAAATCTTACACGGCTTGTATACTTTTTAGAAAATAAACTCCCACCCCCAGAAATAAAGTGAAACGCACAGGATGCTGGTTTATGAAGAAGACAAGAAGTAAAACTAGTGAAATTTAAAACTTATGAGTAGGCGTGTATTTTTGAAAGTTTAAAAACCTTCAAAATATCTTAGCTTTGTCCATGAATAAAAATATTCGAACTTATAAATGGTCCCATATCCCAAATAGCTTAAAAACCTTCTCACGTCAAATCCGACCCTGTTATATGGTGTCGTTTGTGTGGTAACAGTACATCCCATGTACAATGCGTTTTAATCTGTTCGAGTTTATATGCACCAAAAATAATGTTTTCAGTTTTCGCCTTTTTGTAATCATGCTTCTGAAACAACTGTTTGTAAATGACTAAGTTTCTTATCTTCTAGCATTGAAACTATGATAAACGTTTGTATTTGATTTTATATCTTTTTTTGAAACTGTTGAATCCTTCTTTTGGTATGACAATCATACATTTTAAAAAAATGCTTGTTTAAAATTTTTAGAAGATGTGCGAACTTATTCATTGCGGTCATATACATCAGTTCAGTTTTGCACACGTATTTCCGTGATGCCAAGTAGACTTATTTGTTTTGAATGTCGTTGATTCCATCATCTTTTTGGCAAATTAATAGTAATATTTAATAATTATTATATCATTGGAATGTTAAAAACTGTAGAATTGTTAATTTTTCATTGGCCATTATTAGCATTATGTCATCTATACTACGTTTTATGAAATGATGCGGTAACCTTTAAATGCAAGAGGGTTTCCTCCGTGAATGTTAACCAAATCGTCCACAAAATCGCCATCGATGTCGCCGATGAACTGAGCCGTGTAAAGGTTCATTCTCTCGTCTCTAGATAATGAATTAGTAAATGTCCACAACGATTCTCCGTTCACTAAATTTACAGCTTCCAGTGTCTTGCGTTGCGAAAATGTATGGATTTTTGAGTTGTTGAGAACAAATACGTTTGAAAAATTAAAAAAAAGCGAAATAATTACCCCGCTTCTGCCTGCAGCAATGCAGTCATTTACAAAATCACCATTTAAATCCTGGTTACAATTTAAAGAATAAATTTCGTTTGTAAAGAAATGTCTCCACAACTCTTCGCCATTTAATCCGTTGAGAACTATCATCCCACCCAAACAGATATTTTCGTAGTTATAAGATTCTTTACAATCTTCAAAATTAGCCTCCATGTTTTCGGCTTAATAAATAAATTTTATTTTATATTTATATTTTAAATTATTCAATTCAGAAAATTAATACCATTTGCAAAACCAATGACCACGTCTAAAATGTTGTCAAAATTTGCATCGACAAGTCGAATAGCGGATTCAGTTATTAGGTTGGGAAAATTTACTCGCCATTTGGAACTAATGGAAAAATTGAACAAACCATCAGAATTCACTGCAACAAATAAAAATTTAAAATAAATAAAAGTTGTTGTGAGAATGTTCCTTATTTTTCCAGCCATGGCATCTATCGTTAGAATACGATCACGCGAGAGACAATGATGCTATGCATGAAATTATGATGATACGTCGCGTGCTGAAGGCTAACGTTTCACCGCATCTCCCGGGAGTCCAAGGTAAACAATAACATTTCAACAAATTGCTGCTCTTACGAATACAAAATGTTTGTTCGTTCCAAAAATCCATAACGTACAATTTAATTAGAAGTATTTGAAGATGATCGTAAATGTTTGTATTACTTAGAATCAATATTGGCTAACTAGTTTGTAATTGAACGAACCTTCGAAAATCAATAGAAGAGTTTATAAATGATAGTTTTGTAAAACGATGGACACAATTATTTTATGTTATTTTTCGATCTTAGCACATATCCACAATCTAGGTCCCATCAAATATAGGGTATAGAGGAGAGAATAAAGGTGTTTCAGATCTGAAGTATATGACAACGGAAGGTAATTTTACTTTATAAATTATGAGAGAGTTAAACATCATAGCTGTTCAAATTAATAGACTAGATGATGACTTAGTGAGTTAGTGAGGTGATCGATTTATAAAAACTAGTTCTGTAAATGATAAAGTTTTAGTGAGCATTAATATGTTTGAGGTGTCTTGTGATGAAAGTCTTTTTCTGGTATGTAGATTGGGCGACAACTTGATAGTTATGTTTGCGCTGACAAAGGTTGTATGTTGTAGTTCTAATTGGTGGTAGTAGAGAATGGATGACGTACTTTCTTGAACAGCCTTTTAATTATAATGGAACTTAACGCTGACCAGAAAGCATTGTCAATATTATATTATTTTAACGTACTATAACATTATATTAATTGATTTTCTTTTCATTATGTTGATTTTATTGATATGAGCATAAGGACTGTATAATTTTCGCCCACTTTTGTTCATGTTTATAATAATAATAGTTATATAGAACCCAACTCGCATTCAATATTTATCTGCCATCTGATAATGCCTTGTATAAAAAAATACAAACGTATGAACTCAAGATTGCTCTTTCAAACTTCCATCAAGCCAATGTTTAGGTAAAATATTATAGTTATATAAGTTTGTATATATATATATATATATATATATATATATATATATATATATATATATATATATATATATATATATATATATGGTATACTTAACATATGGTTAATCAATACGGTTGCTTGTGGTATATTTTATATATCAACATTATATAATCAAAAATATATATCGATATATATAAATAAAATTATATATATTTATATATTAAAATAACACAAAATAAAATAATAATAATAGAATCCTATATGTAAAATAAATATTATAAAAAAAGTATGAAAACTTTTGCCAAATGGAACCGTGACTAGCTTAACTCGTTCCAAAAAATCTGTTGCAAGCGTTACCGACTATCGCTGAATTGAAAGGCATGTTTTCTGCTGGATTTGTTTCGCGTTTGCTGTACAAATTTGTGTAAGTGTTGTGTTATATGCTATTGTAAGTTACATAATCTGGTTATCGGTAAAATCAGAGATCCGCTGGGGGTGTTAGATGCTTAAAAAACATGAGTGAGGCGTTTGTGTAGCCCCTGATGCCAACCTAACTGCTGATGTTATTCTTTTACAATTTACTTTTTGAGCAAGTGTTGTAGCTTATTAAAGACATTTATATTTATTGAATAAAAAGACATAATTTTTGGTCTTTAGCTAGCGGATCATTTAACATGTCAGGATAAGACCTTCATCACCAGACTCATTAAAATTTAAATATATTAGCAATCAATAAAACTTTATCATTATTTACACAATTTAGTTTTTTTTCTTATAGATCACTTAACTAGCTCACTAAGTCATTGATTAACCAGTCTATTAATAAATTATTGTATTTATTTGTCTTTTAAAACCGTTACTTTATTTTATTTTCCATACTTTTCATGCTTAATCATTTCTTTCTCCATTTATTTTTCATTATCATTTTATTTTATACTATTGCCTTGGATGCTGTAACAGTTTCTGCGTTTGTCAGATTCTGATCTTTTAAAAAATAAAAAAAAATTTAAAGCCCTATTGATGGTTTATGAATTTTCTTCATGATGACATTTTTCCATTCTGCTCATTGCTACTATTTTTTCATAGATTAAAAAATTAAACACAATTGTTTGCTTTGCAGGTCTTCGGTTATCTATTTGATCCATGTCTTTTTTGGCACGGATCATTTAATTTTTCAGTGGTTTGCGCGGACCCATAATTAGAATAAATATAACGACCTTCACTCACTTTTAACGGTCAAACAAAGAGCGTACCTTCGGAGGGGATTTGGAGGGTGATTTTTTTATCGTTCGAGTCAAAAGTTATGATTGTATATTTAATAATTTCTGAATATTGCTTTTATTTAAAATGTTAAAATTTTAATTTTTTAAAAATTGTTATTCAATGTGGTAATTAATTACTTTTATTTGATATAAATTAAAAAAAATTAAATCGACATTACTGAAAATATTTAAAAGTTGAAAAAATTGAGGTTCTTTGCATATCCCTGTTTCAACCCATAAGAAAATGTTGTATATTGATAAATAGGACCTCCCCTTGGCACGGTGCTACTCGGGATTTGTTATACAGAGATATATATAATTATATATATCTGATTAATACTTGTATAATTAATTTTTTTTTTAATTTAGACAAACAGGCAATCAAGAATAAATAAATTATTCTGATTACTTTTGCTTAACAGTTTGTTTAATTAAGTAGGCATGAATTTTTCCAATTTGATTTAAATGAAGCAAATTAAACTATTTATTAAATTAGCATAGATTCACATGCAATACATGATCAAATAAATATCAAATGAATTAACTAATTAACCCATTGGCATTTAACAAGAAACATAATACTTGTTAACAAATGACAACTTATAAAATTAATAGCTATTCATGTTAAATATAATGATTGAACAAAATAAATTAATCATACAGTAGGTTTTAAAGTTTTTATAGGCACTGCTCCAACCTCTGCCATTTTGTTTTATCCCCTAGATATTGAAACAATGTGGCTTTTTCTATCTTAATGGTTTCAAAAAACATTGCTATTTCGTATTTGTTGTTGTGGATTGATGCAAACAGGACAAACAAAATTGGACAATTTAGATAAAGTACCAATTATTTTTAAACAACGTTTGACACCACTGGTTGCACTGCTGACACTTGATTGAATTGTTACCTACACCTTCTTTACAACTGAACAGGGTCATCGTCCAGTAGCTGTGTAGCATATATTAGATTCCAAATGTCACCAGTGCGTATTGGTTTTGTGATTTCTTCAATCACAGTTATAAATAACAGTGGACTGAGAATCGAGCCTTGGTGAACTCCAACGCCGATGTCAAATGCATCTGTGTTTCCAACCATTGTGCTGATGAGAGCCTTAGTATTCGTATGCATTTCCATCACAAGTCGAACAAGATATTCTGGAATGAGTTGCCGACGTAGACTCCATCTGATTGCTTCACGGGGAACTCGATCAAATGCTTTTTCAAGGTCTACAAAAATGTGTGATAGTTGTTGATGCTTTGCGAGGTACTTCTCTTGCAGTTGCCGAAGGATGTGAATTGCATCAATTGTTGATTTCCCTGCTAGGAAACCAAATATGATGAACAGTTCAATGGATCACCTTTGTCTTTGTATAGCGGAACTGTCATGCTATAGTTCCATTCAGTCGGCATTGAGCAATTTCTCCACACTTCACGGCAAAGTTGTAGTAACGTTTGGATACCTGCAGTACCAGATGCTTTGATAATGTCATTTGTGAGTCCAGAGGGCCCTGCTGCCTTTCCATCCTTCATAACTTTGATTTTTGCCATTGCTTGTATGCAGCTTTTTTTTCAGCTATTGCTTTTTGCACACTGTCATTCTACCACCAAGTGTCCCGTTCATGCTGACGTTTTGTACCAGTTTTCCCACAAAATGTAGTTGCAGCGTTTATCAAAACAGTTTTGTATGTACTCTAATCTGTACTGGCTTGCGATTGGTGGTCTAACTGTGTGACGACAATCTGTTGAAATTTTTCTCTGTTGAAATCTGTTGAAATTTTTCTCGATGAATATTGCTTTTCAGCTTCCACGTTTTGATTCTCCGAGGCATTTGTTTAGACTTATGTTGTGACAGTTCGACAACCAGGTCCACCACAAGGAGTCTATGTTGGGCGACACATGATTTGCCAGGTATAACTTTGACATTTTTGAATAGCCTTCGGTGTTGTTGCTTGAAAGCGAAGAAATCAATTTGCGTGGCTGATAGTCCACTTTTGTATGTTATAAGATGTTCCAACCTCTTTCTAAAGTATGTGTTCAGTAAACAAAACCCGTGACTTTCAGCAAACTCAAGGATGCGGTTGCCATCTTCATTCTGTTCTCCATAGCCAAAACATTGTCAAAACCATCTGTTTTCTCTCCAACGTGGCCATTGAGATCGCCTCCAATCAGGATTGTTTCAGATTTTGGTATTGTTGAGATGGTGTCAGAGAACGCAGCCCAGAAGTCATTTTTTATCTCTTCTAATTTGCCTGTCTGTGGTGCGTAGGCATAAAAAATAGTCATTGTTTGTTTTTCTAGGCGAATCTTGATCCACATGAGACGTGAATTAATCCTTTTAATATCCAGTACTTCTTGGGCTAGCGGTTCTTTGACAAAAATTCCAACACCATTTTTGGCCGTCTTTTGATCATTCCAGAATAGTTTATATTTTTTTTATATTTATTATTGTCTGAGTTGATATGACAGACACTATTCGATTTCCATCGGGTCTCCTGAAGGCAGCAGATGTCAATTCTTCTACGCTCGAGCATTTCTGCGATTTCCATGCTGCGGCCAGTCAGTGATCCAACATTGAGCGTTCCAAGTCTAAGTACCATAGAGGGGCCATTTTGAATTTTTCTGCAACATCCTTCCGCTATTGCATACTTCTCAGGAATCCTTAGCCCCCCTTGACCACTTAAGGTCTGCTGGGGACTAGGGGCCGTTGTTTTTGTTTTTGATGGCATAGAATAATTTTGGAAAAGTTTTTACATCCGGACACCCATCCTGACGATTAATTAATGTAATTCATCGATCATGATTATTTTGTAAACATCAATTTTTTTATTGATTGTGTGTTATCTGTGAAAATTTAATTTAATTTTTTCATTTGGTACTTAAATATTGGTTAAATCATAGCATTTACAACTTCCTGTTTTAATTCTGTTATTGTAACAACAGCAACATATTTTTGTATTGTATTTTATTAGAGGCCATCAGTAAACAAATTACTTACCAATTTGTTCTGCTATTGTAGTTATTTTTGATGCTATTATTATTATTATTATTGTTATCATCATTATTTTTACGTTGGTTTATGCTACTGTTTAGATGCTGAGATCTTTCAAATGGTTATTGAAGTTTGTTTTGTAGTTGATGTTAAGTTTTTTTTTCTTATAAATTAAATTAAAAATAGTTAAATATTGCCCGTGCAGTATAATTATTTTTTTTCATTTAAATTTTATTTGCTTCTCAAAAAAATATAAACAATAAATTATTGAAAAGGCGAGATGGCTGTGATCGAGCTCTATAATGAACTCATCTAGCACAGTCACCATAATAGAATTTTTTCAAGGTTTCATAATAAGTTGTAATATATTTTTGAGCTTAAAAAATTAAATCATAGACTCGGAATATCTGTAAGAGATATCCAAGAGACCCATAAATCACAGCCACTTCGCTATACAAATAATGTTAGTATAAAAACAGAACATTATGTAATTGTCTATAGTTCCAATAAAAATAATTCTTGATTAACTCAATATTATCATTTATACATTGTGTTGCATTTGCACCCATTCAAACACACACACATTTACTATACATCCATTCACAGTCGCTCTCATATAAATACACAGTGAAATAAATTTTCACATTTAATATACATTCACAAATTTATAAATCCTAACACTCATACTTAAACATTCAAGCATATTCAAAACCTATACAAACATATGTTTCAGATATGTAGTGTACAGTACATGCAAAGCATTTAATTTCATAAATACAAATAATTGCTTAAAGAGTTGCATGCATATAACACATATTTGTAGTTGTGCGCGTTCGTGCGTGTGTGTGTGTCGATATATTAAACTAAATTTTTCATAAATGTGGGATTGTTGCTTTTTTGAAATACTTAAACTGGGGGAGGGTTTGAAATAATAGTGGTACTGTAAATTTTGGAGGTAGGTATTTAAAAAATGGTGGGTTAGTTAAGTCTTAAGAAGTTAGCAGTGTTGAACAAACAGAGATTATCAAACACAACTAATTCTGTTAAAATCTTGAAATTAAGATTAAATTTCCACTGTTTTTCTTGTCAATATTTTTTTAATTTTCAGTAACAATATTTTGATTTAAATCTTTATATATTACTAAATTACTTGACCCATTCGCACATATTATTTTCAATTTTACAAACTTACTTTTTTGACAGCTTTTTTGTTGTCATGTTTTTAATCTTTGTCTCAAAACCTGAATAATTGTCTGTTATTCAAAATTTGCAACTCACTAAAATGGTTAGTTTTCAACATTTTTGTTTAATTTTAGTCAATTCAAGTTTGGCCAGCCAGTTAGAACCAGTAGAAGATCTTGTTACAGGAGACCATGGCATGTGCCTAGAAACGTCTCTTCATATTGGTATCAAAGGGAGCTAACAGCTGAAAACAAAATCTATTTGAAACAATTGTACAACATTGAATCAACATCTCTTAACCATACTTTGCCTTTAATTAATGCCAATGAACAACTTAAAACATGGAACACCAAGTGAAATTTATTTATTTATTCGTTTAATTTTTTTAATTAGAAAGCCTGGTAACGTATTAAAACAAATTTTTTGGCACTGATTCATGCGACACTCATAGTTAGTCACGTGAAATCTTTCTAACTCATGTGACAATTTGCACTCTAATGTTTGCATTTTTGCTGCCAAAAATATCTCTACTCTAAGATTTTTTTAAAGCTCTTTCCAAATCAAAGCAAATTTTTCTTGGTTATTCTATGTTTTTCATCTAATGATTTTTGTATGGTTCTCATTTTCAATTGTAGAAATTTGTTAATCATGATTGAATTCTTGTTGTCTCTTTGTTAGTGTTTTCAAAGTCACAATTGGACCTCCCTTCTAATGGTCTTTGCACTCCCAGTCAATTAGATTGAGTCAAATTAAATATTAGATTATCTTAAGCTCCCCATTGTTACTGTTACGGGTGCAATGTGAGCAGTTGTTGGAACAAATTTTTATAAAATTAATAAATTTTATTTTTTGAATTTTTATATTGTTAATAAATTTTTCTTCATGGCATTCAAGTTCGATATAAAGTCGAAAATTCAATGCCAAGTGATCATTATTATTACCACAGTTTTTGGCTTACTCTTCAGTGCTTGATATTACTGCTATTACCACAAGTTCTATGTTATCTGTATGTGTTGCTTACTTTTCAAATATTTCCATTTCACAAAATGGTTCTAAATTTTGCTTGTTTATTTTGTTTTCTTCCTTTGTAGTTCGGTTAGAGTCGACCATTGACCTCTTGATCTGTTGCTTGTGCTTCACATCTCTTAGTTCTATTACTTATTTATCTAATCCTCTCTCTTAGAGCCCTGCGCGGTTGGAATTTCCAAAAACCGCAACCGCACAAAACCGCAACATTTGAAACCGCAACCGCACAAAACCGCAACATTTGAAACCGCAACCGCACAAAACCGTAGCGCCGAAAACCGCAACCGCAAAAATGAAAAACAACATCAATGCTTTTATTGACATTATAAATCACAACTGTCTACATCCGTGTTCCGATCTTGTTTTAACATACATTTGGCTTCACATTTGTTACAACAGATAAATGATGTAGCCACGTTTTTAAAATAAATTCTGCTAAAATTTTTCCAAATTTCAATTTTAGAATTTTCTTGAGCTTTTAAAGAAATGTTTTCGCTTTTGGACAGCATCAATTTAATCAAAAAATTTTTATCAATTACATCTACCTGTGAATCAACTTCAACATTTTTTACCTCGGACATTTTTATAAAATAATCGATAATTAACCACGTCGTAAATAAAATAACTACTTCTTTCAAAGTAAACAGGAAAAAGAAAATGGTTGCTTCAACGGCTTCCAAAGATATTAAGATTTTTCAAAGACAATATATATAAAAATTATTACAATGATAATGCAATTTTTAAAATGTTATGGACGAACAAAAATATTCAACAAAATTTTTGCGGTCACCGCGGTTTTGATATAAAAAACCGCGCCGCGGAAAAACCGCACATTTCAAAACCGCAACCGCGTAAAACCGCATGATTTAAGCACCGCAACCGCAAAAAACCGCGGTTGCGGTGCGGTTTTTGCGGTTTAAACCGCAAACCGCGCAGGGCTCTACTCTCTCTTTCCCTCTCTCTCTCTCTCTAATCCTTTCTCACTCTTTCTTTCTCTCATTAAACACCCCATCAAAACTTAAATACTCAACTTTGAATAATTTGAAAACACACTCTCCTCCATAAAATTTGCTTACTGTTTCAATTATTTCTAGTCTCCTAAAAAATTGTAATGCTTAGTAATGGATTTTAATTGCCACGTTCTATACAGTCAGCAAGGTTGTGATAATTCCTTCATGAGATATTACTTTGTTTTTGATCGTTTTGTAATATTTGTTTAAAGAGTAGATGATAGATTTTTTATAATAAAGTTGTTGTGCTGTCATTGTTGACTCTATGTTATCAACTATTTTATTCAACTCAGTTCACTCACTCAATTATGATTAGAACACTTTTTTCATGAAATTATTTTAGTTTCCATATGAGATTAATTAAGTGAAGCGTTATTTCAAATTATTTTTAGTATCATTCGGACTGGTGTTCTTGCTTTGAAGATTGGTGTTGTTCCTCAATGGACTATTGATGGCAAGAAATTTTATTGCACTCTGCTTCAGGTAAGTAATGAATTCATTTCACCAAAATACTACTCTGAAGATAAATTCATTTCACCAAAAGATTTAATCCATAGATATATCTGTGTTTATTCATAATTCTTCAAAATAATCACTAACTTTTCTTGATTTTTTCACCACATCTTTAGGTGATTCTCAGCTCTTTTATGTTTGTTAATTTTTCAACAAAATTTTAAATTATATTTTTAATCATTCAGTAAATTTTTTTTTATTAGGTTCTTGATAATCATGTTATTTCTTACAAAAGTCCCGAAGAAAGTTCTTCCAACATGTTTAAGAATGTTAACATGACACTGGGGACATTAGTAGTTGGAGCTCTAGGAACAGAAAATCGTAAGGTAAAACATGGTACTAGTGATTTTTTTATTATTCTTTAAAAAATCAGAATCTGACAAACGCAGAAATTGTTACAGCATGCAAGGCAATAGAATAAAATAATAACGAAAAATAAATAATGGAGAAGAAAATGTTTGAGCATGAAAAGTATAAAAAATAAAATAAAGTAATGATTTAATAAGATAATTTATTAACAGACTAGTTAATGACTTAGTAATTAAATGAAGTTGAGAGATTGATAAGAAAAAAGAAAACTAGATTGAGTAAAAGATCTTATTGAGTGCTAATATATTTAAGATGTCTTGTGATGAAGGTCTTATCCTGACATGTTGATAGAGCGACGACTTGATAGTTATGCTTGCATTGTTGAAGGCTGTGTGTAGTAGTTTTGATAGGTGATGGTTGAGGATGGATGAGGTGGTTGTTAGTTTTGTTTCACTCATTCAGATTTTTTTTTCTTAAGTTTACAAAAGCGTATTGTGGATTGTTTAAAAATGCCGGTGTTTTACCAAAAAGAAAATTATCCAAATTTGCTGTTTCTCCTGAATCTGCTCTGCAGCCTGGTTAGTGGTCTTTTTAATACTCCCATAACAATATTTTTCAATCTTTTTTTTCATCCTTGATGCTGATGATTATGAAAATTTAATTTATGAAAACATTTATTGTTTGTTTTGTTGGTTTTTTTGTTTTTTTTTAATCTCCGGTTTATTCATGAAAAATAGTACAAAATACACCTGATATGGATACTAAAAAGAGTGCAACTCTTAACTCTGGACAATTTTCAACAAATATAAAATAAAAACCTGAATAAACAAAACACAACAGATCAACCAAAACACTGACAAAAGCAGCAATGCGGTATAAATATAAAATTATTTTAAATAAAATTTTACTGTAAAATGTTTCAATTTAAGTTAAGCAGTTAATAAATAAAAAAGTGAATACAAGTAGGTAATAAAGTAATTAAGCATGTATAAAAACAAAAATAAAATATAGTATCTAAACATGTATACAAAGGTTATATAAAAATATTCAAAAATAAAATATGTAAGAAGTGGAAATAAATTAAACATATATATATATATATATATATATATATATATATATATATATATATATATATATATACAAATAAACAAAACATAACAAAAATTATAGTGGCTGAAAGACTAAAAATCTTTTTAGAGCCACTCCAGGTTGAATCCCAATTTGGCCAATTTGCTTTTAAAAATATTTGTTGATTTTACTGGTCACTGCATCATTATTTATGCTGTTTTAGTGATTTCAACTCTGTTGCTGAAGAAGTTATATTTCATTGGTCCAGCTCTCTCTTAGAAAAGCTTCAGTTTATGACCACATGTAGATTTGTTGTACGACAATTTAAAAAATCTAGTAGCCGGTTAATTTTCTTTATCCATAATAAGTTTGTAGGTTTGGATCAAATCTTTTCTCGTTTTTAGACTACATTTGTCAAGTTTATCTTCGTATTTCAGGTGTCGTAGACTTGTGATCAACTTTTTAGCCCTTTTTTGAATCTTCTTAAAAATTGTTTTGTCTTTTTCGAGATAAGGACACCAAAACTGTACACCGTAATCTAAGTGTGGTCTTACTTAAGATTTGCATAACCTTGTTATTACAATTTGTTCCTTGGTCGAAAACGTTCTTTTAATGGTCCCTTGCATTTGATTGGACTTTTTAGCAACTTCTTGAAACTGTCTTGATGACTTACAATCTTGGGTAATGAAAACACCCAGGTCACGTTTTTCCATATTTGACCTAAGTTCACTGCCTCATAATGCTTGCTTGGGTTTTTTTGCCGAAATGCATGACTGCACACTTCTCAACATTGAAGTGCATCTTTCAGTTTTCCTACCATTTATATAATTTTCCCAAATCTTTTTCCAACAGAGCCACGTCGTTAGCATTATGTACCACGGCGCACAGTTTTGTATCATCTGCACAGATTTATTTCATCGGCCTGTTAGCATGAATTAATAATATTTTTATCAATATATGGTTTCGAAATTTTACAAATAGATCTTCAATAGGATGAAAATTTAATTGCAACTTTTTTCAACTTGTTTTTTATCACACATCAGGTGCTCCAAACCCATAATTTTGTTTTGATTCATATTTGTTGAGATTAATGAATTCATACTCTTTTACTGCGTCACATTTTTTTGTTTTCGCAAATAATTATTCCAAGCTTGAATAAAATGTAGCCATTCTTTATTAAAATCTGAGTTTATTATTACCATCCTCATTAAACTGTAAACCCCTATTTTCTAAGTTATCAGAAATCTGAAACTTAGAGAATTTTTATTTGAGGGATTTGTGTTCTTCATATAATTTAAGTTATTATTATTTAAGTCATTAGCTAAACTGTTAAAAAGTTAGAAAATTTAGTAGATAGATTAATTAATTCAATTTGTAATTCATTAACTTTCTCAGTCAATGAGGACACTGTTTTTGAGCATGGACTTGTGTGTCTACCTTCCAGGACTGAAGTATCAAACGCAGAATTTTTATAAAAAAAAACGTAATTGTATACATCTGACTGTTTTTAAGAATTACGCTGTATACCATTTGTCCACTTAAAGTTTTTGCCAATGATTTTATTGATATTAGTATGCAGATTGACAAATAACAGTTTTGCAAATTTGTCATTATGTATGAAGTTAAAAGGATTATATAAATAAAAACATGATGTTTCAGAATTCAACATAAATGAAATGATCACCGTTTTGCAAATATGGTAGAAAAGTGTACTTCTTCGAAAATAATGGGTATTGATATATTTTGCAATCTTTTGAAAATTGCGCATTTAAAAACTGAGAAACCATTCATTCTCAAGCATGCTAACCATACTTGCGCAATACTATACCAACATGCACACAAAACCAATTCACGCAACATTCTACCAGCATGTACACATGACCGATTCACACAACGTGTGCGCCAAGCAAAACAACATAGGCACATGAGTCATTCATTCAACATGCGCGCCAAGAAAAAAAAACTTCACACATAAATAAACACTTTTGTTGAGAAAATTTTTTTCGGTATTCTGGATTGTTATGCACAGAGCTTTGGAGTAAAAAAATTAAATGTTGAAAATGACATACGACCAATATCATAAAAGACAATTATTAAAAATCATTTACAATGAACTAAAGTGAAACAAATAAACACTCCCATTTCAATTGCCTCTGTTTGCCTCTGTTTGCTTTTCTCTAAAAATTGTTGGTAAAAATTGAATGTTATTTATAGAAAGAAATTTTAATATTTGTGCGCATGTGGTTTTGTTTTGTTGGGGTATGTGTGTATATGTGTGCGTGCGCGTGCGTGTGTGTGTGTGTGTGTTTACATGTGTACGAATGTTATTTGATTGACCAAATTTAAAAATTATTTTATTCTTTTAAATTCGATATTAAAAATACTTAAATTTTTTTAATCTGTTTCATTATTTAACTTTTTTTAATGAAACTTATGGCCATATTCCCATGCCATTTTGGTGAAAAATATATGGTGTATTAGATGAACACAGCATACAGTGTGACCATGTTTTAAAATTTATTTTTATACAACTCTCTAGCTTAATTTACCGGTTATTAATACCTTTATATATAAATCCATTGTGAATTATAACTATTACGTTTCAGGCACTCCTTTGAATGCCTCACATTTTATGGTTGGAAATTTCGTCGATGCTCAGGCCAAAACGTAATTCTTTTTTTTTAGCATTTATTGCCAATTCAATGATTGCATTAGAAATAAAATAATATTGATGATATTTGGTGCAGATTTTTGCGTTGAAATTATATTAAAATTTTGATCACTTTAGCTATTGATTGGATTTGCAAATAAATGTTTAGCAGATGAGCATTTTATATGTTAGCTTGCATTGAATTTGTCTCCCTTGCTATAAAAATTGCTTTTACATTAAGAATCAGCCAGTGTGAGACAATTTTTTTATCTTAAATTTAAACTTCAAAAGTATTTTAGGCAGGTGGGTTTTTTAACGTTTGTAATAACGAACCTGACGTTGTGGATTTTCGTTCTTTTTGCGTTTCTCTCAGAAATAGGAACGTCAGACAAGAGAGTATGAGAGTATAACAGAATCAAGGCATCACACTAGTTGCAATCAAAGAACGTTCTTGAAACCACATTATGGTTCGTATATTGCGAAAACCAAGGAATGATGCAGTGATTGTATTGTCTTTGCATCATCATTAGTTTAACAACAACTAAGTAAATAAGAAACAAAGTGTTAGCAGCTTTATGCTTATCAGATCAGCATAATAAAGATAGATCTATCAAAATTATTAGCTTAATTAAGATTATTTACTGAAATTTAGATTTTTTTTACAGGCGGAAAATTTTGCAAATTCATATTTTAAGCATTCTCGTAGCAGTTATGAAATTATAATATTATCCTATCAAATTATTATTGCATGTCAATTGATTAGAAAACGTGTTATAAGGCATGTTTAAGGGATCTGCATAAGTTTCAAATTTTTTCTTTGTTCATATTTTATTTCATTTATTTCGCTTGTAAAACAAAACATTTTTTTAAACATTAATGATGGTTTGATATGATTTGATTGAAGATTTTGTTTTGTAATCCATAAATTTAAAAATCAAATTCATGGTGAAAGTTTAAACAAAAAATAGATTTGAGTTCAACGTCTCAAAGATCATTGATAGGGCTCTGATGCTAATAGGGGTGCTGCATAAAAATCAATAGGGACTTTAAGGATACCATTTACATTTTTCTAAGTTGCTGCTTCTTTTGCTTTGCAGTATAGGCCATGGATTTCAAGGAGTTGTGAAAAGGTGGGGGTTTAAGGGTGGACCAGCCAGTCACGGAACCACGAAATGGCACAGGAGACCTGGTAACATTGGAGGAGGACGAGTCAGTTCATTTTGCTTTGGCCTATATTAATAATATTTTTATATAAAATTTTTGTCACGATAGGGGAAAGGTAAAGTTTTTAAGGGCAAAAAGATGCCTGGTCATATGGGAATGGAATGGAGGACTACAAGAGGATTGAAGGTATGTTTCAAATATATTTTTATTATATTTTTTGTTTAGCTGTAGGCTTTTTAAATGCAGACCACGTGTCACAAGGTCACTTATTAAAATGATACAAAATATAAACGCAATAAATAGTGGAGTTAAATCAAGTTAAATTAGGTTAAATTAAGGTTATCAACTTCGGTGAAAAAGCAGTCAACAACAAAAAGCAGCTAGACAATCTCTTCAAAAAAATTTGTACTTCCTTCAATCAATATTCAACCAAAAAAACAGAATTTCACTCCGTAAAACCAAATGCGTTACTTAACTAATTACCCATTTCTTTCTCCTGATCAAGTTAACAAAGCCGTAAAACAATCTTTATCATCAAAATTCAAAAGCTACTGAACCAGACAATCTAACTATCTTTCATCTCAAATACATGGAACTACTCTGTGTCACGTATCTAACAAACGTCTTCAGTGAATCTTTGAAAAACGGCAAAATAACCTATATTTACAAAACCACAAAAATTATACCATTGCTCAAACCGGAAAAACCTAACAATGACGCCAAATCATGTCGTCCATTTTCACTACTATGTCCAGCCATTAAAGTTTTAGAAAAATGCATGCTTCCTACCATAACAGATATCTACCCATGGCTGATCATCAACATGATTTTCGATCTGGACATTCAGCAACTACTTCTTACCCTACTTACCACGGGCGCGATCAACGGTTTTAACGAAAAAAAATATCAACCCATTGAACAATCATACGGCACTAGATCTCACAAAAGCATTTAACGCCGTCAATCATGATATATTGTTCAACAAGCTTATTTGTCTTTACTCTCCCACAATCAATTATCCGTTAGATTTCAAACTACTTACATAGACTCTTCGCTTAAATAGAATTTCGAAGCCAATCATCAAAACAACGTATAATCCACGTTAGTCTGCTTAAAAGTTTCATTTTCAACCCTATTCGACTTTATTTTTATGAGCACCTTCACCTACTACTGACATCAAAACATTTTATGCGGATTACTTTACAATCTACTCTGCTAGATCTGATACTGATCTTTTCACTCAACAGCTGCCTTCCAACACTCAACAATTTTCACTCTCACACTGTCCAAAATCGCCACCATTCTCTTATCAAAATCTAGTCAGTTACTAGAACACAACCTCAAGATTTTTGGCCTTACATTTGATATCATGTCCACTTTCACCATTTAGAACAAAAAAAATCAGCAGTTAAAACCATTAAGCGTAATAACATTCTAAAAGCACTTTCTCGTACATTATTTAGTCAAGAAAAAGATACATTACCTTTCATATACAAAATTGTCGAATTACCAGTGTTTGAACATGCGTGATCGGTTTGTGTTCCAGTCGTTTCAAAACCATCACTGGTCACATTACTTCCGCCATACAACAAATCTACTCAGAATCCCCAATGCTCAACGTTCAACAACACACAGACCTCCTTTATGCTCAATATTTACTAAAATTATTCAACATCAGCCATGCTCGTCATAAAACCACAACTCAAATTCATAGTCCGTGTAAAATAAAATTAAAGAAACACTTCATTCAAAATATTGCAATACAACTGTGATACCTTCAGACATCCTCCATAATTTTTTTTATAAATATATTTAATAGCGGTAAAAAGGCTTCCTCCCACTTCCACAATAAATCAGTCAGAATAAACATTAGTAATATGCTTTAGACAAACACTCGCGCAACTTCGGTCGGCCATAACATCATTCTCAATAGCTACAAATCAAAGTTAAATCAACACAACGTCAACAACATTTGTCTTTTTGCCATCTCCACTCGGTTGATCTGCCAGACTTTTTCAATTGCATCAACACCATACTCATCTCATCATAGTAGAACTCAGGGAAAATCATTGAAATTTGCAAGTTGGCTACAGCTACGGTTGAATCAAAACGCTGGGGCCGGACAAAGAGAAACAACAACATGGTTAATTGACTGGCGCTTCAACTTCAAAAACAGCGTAAATAAAGTGTTAAAAATTTTTGATCTTCTCAACAAAATAAAATATAAATAAGCTCTCGAATTGTAAAAAAAACGTTTTGTGTTTTTGTGCCGTGGCATAAGCTGCAAATTTAATAGAAACAGTGTGGAAACGCACTTTCTTCTGAACAAGAAAAATTTACTTAGAGTATCATCACCTATAAACTCCCGGCTATCTGCGGGGCAATCTATTCGAATCCTGTTCTACTAATTCTTTTTTGGCATTCATCCTAAAAGATATTTTGGTGATTATTCTTTTTTTCCTACTTCAGATGGTCAATGAAAGCATCTGTCCATCAACACTGCTGAAATCACTCCTACGCTAAAATATAGTCAGATTTGTCACCAGATTTGGTTAGTAGTAACAGATTGTTATCACACCTGAGTTTTATTTCAAATGTAAAGAAAATAATAGCCATGCAACATCCTAAGCATTTTATAAAAAATTCCCTAATACCGAAGTTGCAACCAGGATTTTAGAAAGATCAATTAGAGACGAATTTGCTGAAGTATATCATCATACATCATTTTTAAGCTGTCCGTATGTTAGTTTTTGCGTTGATGGGCCAAACGTCCAGAAATCTATACTGAACATCAGAGATAAGTCCTTAGCATCCACACAAATACGAAAAGATGTGGATGGCTGAAAGTTATCCGGTAGCACGAGGCAACATTTATGTTTAATTTCTGTAGGTGTTTGATAATGTCACCAGTCTCACATTTTGGTTAAATTTTTTGTTTTATATGGTTCTACTGGCTTTGATAAATGAATTCTTTGATTGGCTAGAACTAATTGTAACATTTTTACAGCGTGAGAAGCTGATTGATAGAATATATAATTATTACTATTTTTATTAATTATTATTTCGTCTTTTAATTATACGTTATTTATAATTCTCAGATTTATCACAACAGAAAAACTGCTTTTAGTGTGAACACTCGTGCATCCATGTATTTTTTGCATTTGAATCCAGTCACTGCAACAGCACAACCATGTACTTTAACCTTGACACCATCTTGCTTAATGTGGCCTATAAGACAACTGTTCTAGCAAACTGGCGTAAAATTATTATTATATTTATTCAAATTAACTAATATTTGTAGATTTGGAGAATAAATACAAAGTATAACGTAATCTACGTGCATGGACAAGCTATTCCTGGGCCGACAAATTGTTACGTCAGATTGTTTGACACAGTAGTTTCCAAGAAAAGATCATTGATGCTTCAAAACCCACCGCCTGTACCAACATGTCACATTTCCAAAGCTGTAGATGATGATATTTATGATGAAAATCTTTTCAATTTTTCAAAACAAATGGACAGTTTGAATATAAATGCAAAAATATAAACAGTTCAAACAACGTTTGTTATTAACTTTTTACACTTTTACATTTTTTGTTCTAAATTGATTTTAAAGGTTAAAGCCACCCACGCCGCATTTCAATAGCCGTAGAACTTTACTGAAAGCATGAGCTGCAATGACATCAATCAATCAGCGCACGGTTGTCCTAGCAGTTTAAATTCAAATGATTGGCGATTAGCTCACGGATAGAAAATGATGTCACGAGCACTTTCGGGTCAAATGGCGCAGGCGTGACATCGTCAGGCATCGCTGCTCTTTTGCTTCCAGTAAAATTAAAAAAAAAATAATGCGATAAGAAAATACCAGTGCAAAATATCGCGCCATTGAATTCAGACGTTACAGTGGAATAATGGAAGAGAAGAAATGACGCTGCTATGTGCATTTTAGTAAGACTCATCTTGGGGTCTTTCAGGATAAATAAGCAATTTTGTAATGCACCCTCTGATGGTTTACAACAGCTTCAAACACAGTAAAGCACACTAATAAAATTTATATATATATTGAAGCGAATTGAGGGAAGCTATATTGAATCTCAAATTGACGTTAGAAGGTATATTTGTCATTATTGGTATTGTTTATTGAAGTCTAGAGTACATCTACATCATCTGAGTATGTTGTAACAGCTGATGGAAATATGATTTTATAAAAAGGCTGTTTATTCGCGCTTTCGAAAGGTTTGACGGACAAATATTTCAGAAAGGAGCTGCTTGACTGCATTATGTTGTGATTATTTTTTCTCCGTGTTGGATGGGTAACAGCTTTAGGCTACTAGATATGGAACAACACTTTGATCATTGATTGATTCAAATCTAGAAGGACTTAGTTTAAGGTACCTACATAGAATTACTCCATGTCACAATAGAGGAAAGACAAAGTTGGGTTATGAAGACTAATATCGAGATTAAATAGAGGAAAAGTAGATATAAATATAAGAGTCATCGGCATGTTGCGTGTTAACGCGAAAATTAAAAATGAGTGCTAAAACAACATATAAAATTTTGTGCCGAGATTTAACGATGGTGGTATAATGTGCAATTAATTCGTTCAAAAAGACTTCAGTGTGTCTGATGTTATTGATATCAAATGCTATCATAATATCTTACGCCATTCGTGAAATTGATAACAGATAGTTCGGTGGCTGGTTGGGATATCACGGTGGCTGATTGGATTGTTAATATATATATTTGTATTATTATAATGTTAACAATTAGCCAACAAAATATCTACAATAAGCCAACATAATATTTACAAACTTCAATTAGCTAACAAAAAATATCTACAATTAGCCACCACAATATTCGCTAACTTGTCATGTCTGTTTTGATACAATAAACTAGTCAACCAATAGGACAGACCCGGATTTTACCACACATAATTTTATTTCACTTTTAATATAAATTGTAAATAAAAACAGTGGCCGATCGTGCGTGACTGTATTATATAAAAGCTTATTCAGTATTTAACATGTTTTGTTTTTAGTTTCGCAATTCTACAGCAAAAAAACAAGAATGTCGCACATTTTTAAAAATATTTATGTCGGAGATATTGACGATGCGTTCAGGTGTTCGCTGCAAAATAATCGTTTCACTCACATCCTAACTTTGGATTGGTTAGTTTGTTTTTTTTTAGTAGTAGTAGTAGTAATCGTTAATAAAATAAAATTTAATTTAAATTAATTAAATTTAAAGCCAACAGTTGGGCGCACTGCATTATATCGTAGCTTAACATTATTAAACATTATTACTTTATTTATTAGGCTACTATTGCACTGTCACTTAGAATTACATTACAGATTAATAAATTAAGTTTATGAAGTAAGATTGGCAAAATCCTAGGACAGTGCCTACAATGTAATTGAAAACACATTATAAATGCGGGAGATATGTATGAAAAAGAGTGCACATAAACAACGACCAATGAGATAACTAAAAAAGGGAATGCAACACAGCTGTAAGTGAACGACCAATGAGATAACTAGAAAAGGAAACGCAACACAGCTGTAACTTAATGAATGAACGAAAATACGGAGCTATCGAAAGTGTTAATGTCACGAATATAAAATATCAATTAATCGATTGTAGGCGGCAATATAAACTAGTATTTATATAAATTAAATTTTTGGACAAAAAGATTGTATACAATACATTTTATTCTCTTTTACCATCTCAAAATTTGTATTTTTTTACATTAAATGATATCCCATTTTTACTATTTTAATAAAAATTATTTATTTCATTTTATTATTTTAATATAAATAATTTAAAATAATAAAATTTGACAGTTACGTATTTTTTAAAATTTCTTACTTTATGTTTCGACATTGTGCTCACAATCTCATTGGTCGTTGTTTATGTGCACTCTTTTTTTATACATATCTCCCACATTTATAATGTGTTTTCAATTGCATGGTAGGCACTGTCCTAGGATTTTGCCGTAAGATTGATTAATTAGTCATTTATATTTAAATTTAAGTTAAAATGTTAAATTATGAATTAATGTCGCTCATCATGTATAAATAAATAAATAATGTTCACGATAAATAATTTCTTTTTCTCAAGCATGTAATAATAATTGTAATGCTTCTGACATGTTTATTTTTTATTTAATAACATGTAGCACACGCACCCAACTTGTAGCTACTTTTAAGCATGGTGAGCATGCAATGTGCCTGATTTATTGATCTAACTTAAAATTGGAATAAATTTTTTTTCATTTTTATTTATTAAATATTATTTTTTTAAATAAATTTATATATTTTTTTTTATTTTATGCAAAACTCAGAATAACGTTCAAGTGAATATCAGTTTTCAATTATATTTCATACTTGACGTACTTTTTATCAGATTAGAATCAAACATACCAAGGCTGAAACTTTTTCATTCTTGATCATCATGCTTTGATAAATCCAGACGTACTCAAATACCATTTTTTACTTTTCATAGGTAAGTCAATAATCTGAATATTCAACAATGAAATTTTGTTTTTAAAAAAGAACACTATGCACCACATGGTACATGTTTTTCATAGGTGATTATCACTTTGTGTGAAATAATTCAAAACATTTGTCATGTAGAGTAACACAACATTTATTACATTTCTTCTGTCCTTTCTTCCCACATTGTGCACATCGTTTTTGACCACTGTCCATACTTTCTGTGAAGTGTTTTGCCCATCATATCACACAGAATCAGGAACAGATTGACATGGCAAAACAAGGTTTTTAAATGTGAGGGGAAATGGAATTTGTTTCACGATATCTCATGATATATGTCATGGCTACTTTATGCCAAAAAAGCTAATAAGCACTGTAGGGGCTTATTAGCTTCTGAAGACCTGTAGAGTTGCCATGCATTCTGCAGACTGTCTCAATTGTATAAAAGGGCCCACCGCCATTTTTTATCCAATTTTTGGCAATATTTTGATACATTCTGTTGGTTCTACACATGAAATGATTGTAGTGCAAAATCACATTAGATATTGTGATCTGAACCTGCTTCTTCTCAGTTGAAGACCAATGTTTATTTTGAATTATTGGATTAATGCCGAAGCAGTTGGAAATCATTGCATTGCGTCAAATTTCATTGCCATTCCATCAAACTCCAAGTATTCCAGATTTCCTGTCCATCCAATGATTGTATGCTTCTTGTCTGTCTTTTTCAACTTGTCAATATCCTTTAATGGATAATTTTCCATTCTAGTTGTTCTCATAGTCTCTGTTACCAATACATTTGACAGTTTCAAGTGATCAAGTAAATGTGGTGAGTTGAAAAAATTGTTAACAAAAACTTTACCATCAGATAATGTTTTAGGACAACTGAACCACCAAGCCCCAAATCATTATTGCAAGAACAAGACAATCCCTGATAAGGTTCAAACTGGACCAAATACTCCAATCGGCTATTGCAGCACCACACTTTAAAACCAAAGCGTATTGGCTTACCACAAATCTGTTTTGAGTTAAGATATCCATAGTATAGCACCATTGATTTGTCAATATAAATGTTTTGTTCCAAAGGCTATGTTTAACAAACGAAGCATTCAACATCACAAACAATGGTCTAAGTTTAGCAGGTTTGTCTTCTGCATCTAAGTTATTGTTACCACATACATGAATATATCGTAATATTATTTCAAAACGGTTTCGAGACATAGCGCTGCTGATTGCTACAGAGTATCTTCAATCAAAAAAGAAAAATATTTATCTATTTTTATTTAATGACAAGCTGACCAGAGGGCCATAACAGACCACTTATCTAGTCAGGAAAAAAAACAGCTTCCAAAAGAACGTCGCGTTAAAGAAAACGCACGTCAATGAATTAAATTAACAAACAGAAATTATTGCATAATAATACAAATAATGAATGAGGCTACATAACAATATTGAAGATAAATACGTAATAACTGTAAGATTACAATAGAATTTGATATGATTATTTATGTAAAAGAGTAAATTTTAAACATGTAAAAAATAACATTGTGGGTGTAATAAAAAAAATTTAGTTTGATGGCTATAATTAATAGGTAAATGACGAAATTGGACAAGCACATAATACGAAAAGATAAGAAACATCTGATGATTAGGCGAAGAAGTTTTGTGAGCGATGTCACTGATATGAAGATTGAAGTTGAATTCGTTGTCAACTATCACTCCTAGATCTTCGAATTCGTTTGTACAAGTTAGAAGCTGTTGGTCAATTGCATATTGATGCCGAATTAAGACAGATCTTGGTGATTGAAGAAACGAGCAATGAGAACATTTGTTTGGAGAAAATGGTAGTTACCATTTGATACTCCAAGCAACTATGTTGTTAATGACTTGTTGAAGTTGAGCTGAGTTGGAAGAACGGCAATATAGTTTTATATCATCAGCGAAAAGCAAAATTGAAACCGTTTTTGAAGAGATGCATCCAACAATGTCGTTTATGATTGCTACGGAGTACCTTCAATCAAAATAAAAAAATATGTAATGTCTAACAATGGAAAAATGAAAACAGTGTACAAATACTATTTAGCTGTCATTGCACTTTGAAGCTGGCCAAAGTGAGGGGAAGAGTTATGTTTTGGCGTGAAAAAACTAATCATAAAATGTTGATAATCAATATTCCAATATTCCGCATCAATATTCAATTGTAACAACTTCTAACATAATCAAAAGTAAAATTTAATTGTTTAATATTTGTTGTAAATAGGATTAAATATGATTATAAATTCATTTATTACAGAACATAAACCACGTGACTTTCAGTGCATGGCGTCCTTTTAACCCCAGAAATACCAGCTTTTTTATACCACTAACTACTATTGGTCCATTGGACCCCATTCATTTTTGCATTGAAAATCTCATCCAGAAACATTCATATTTGTATATTTTAACAAATGCAAATAGAAAAAAGAGAAATTCAACTGTTATTTAAGGTCAAACTGGCAAAAAGTTTCACCAGTGACATTTTTTTCGATTCTTGCAAATCATGCACCAAGTCGAAGCAGCTCTGAAAGCTTGTTTTTTTCTAATTTCACTTTATTTATTTTATAAATATATATTTGTTGTTTTTCAGCAATAATTGGAGTTATTATCATATATAACCCAAGATTTAATGCCATCTTTTTCTGGTATAAAGGGTTATTATTGCCAAAATGGATACCTGCTGCTGATTGCTACCAGCTGTTCAACTACAGTCATACATAATCCTAAATTATATGCCTCTTTTTTCAAACTGAAATTCCGCAATTAAAATATTTCTCTTATGGGTTGCAATTGTCTGGGCTTCTATGTTTTCTGCACGAGTAAGCATCATCAAATTTCATTACTCTCAAAATTAAAAAAAATATTTTTGGATACTATATTGTTGTTACATTCCACAAATCAATAATTGATTCATTTTATAATTGTAAACACTAATCAACATCAATGTTCCTAATGTATTTTAAACTCTGTAAACGCGGCATTCATACACTTCCAAGTTTCTTTGTAGGCTAACTCCGTTTTAGGACTACTCATATGCAAACTTCATTCAATAACTTATGCATGTTTGTTTTTATTTGTCAACAAAAGTTACAACCTTCTATCATCTTCATCTCCACTTTTCCATTCAATTACTTCATCTACTTCATTGTCATCAAAAAAATGATGAAGCCTATCCATTTCCATAATCTTCTTCATCTTTTTCATCCCTCAACATTTTACATTTTTGTGATAATGAAAACCTCGAAATATTGTTATAAAACTTGATAAAATATTGCATCAGAATAACAAAAAAAATTACACAGAAAACAATTTTAAATTTGAAATATTTTTAAAAAGTTTATAAATTAAGAAAAACTTACCTTTTTTGCTGAGACATCTAAAAAACCAAATTTTACAATTGAGTGAAAATAAGCAAAAAACTACCAAACAAAATGGTTGTTAATGCGCGCAAATTTTGACAATTTTTTCATTAATATACTTAAGGGATGTTCCGGTCTAATTTTTAAGCAAATATATTGGGGTTGTCTGAGTAATTCTATTTAATATAAGGTGTCAGTGAAAAAGTGCGCTATGCGTTAAAGGGTTAATGTTAGGAGTATTACCTGGCGAATTTGACGTTAAAATGTTTTAGGCATGGAAATGACACTAACAATATGTTTGCTTACGTGTGGCATCCTGTACAAACGGCGTATCATGTATATATTGTTATCATGTTCACTTCCCCACAACGTTGACACTCATCCCAAGTTCCATGGTCTGTCCTTATTTGTAGTTGAAAAGTTAGCATGCTTGGCCTCCAATGTTTTAGATAGGTCATCAGAGTTTATTCCACCACTAAAAAGTTATTTCAGCGAAGTTTGCCTGTATATTCAAAAACAAAAAAATATGAAATTTAAATTATTTTTTAATAAATAAGTTATTATTAGAAATAATTTTTATTTATTGCTATTTTGTATGTTTGTCAAACAGCAAACCTCTGCCGAAAGAAGTTCAGATGGTTAAACGTTATCTGCATGTTTATTGCTTGGACAGTGAACATTTCAACATATTGAGGCATTTAAATGAATGCTTAGAATTTATGGATGAAGGAATAAGTGCTGGTGATTTGGTTCTCGTGCACTGGTTGGTTGGTTGTTCACTTTCACTTGTTTCCACACTTTCCTTGTCAGTTTTTATTACGTCAGATTATAATAGTACGTGCGTTATGATTTCGGTGCCTACTTGTAACTTTATTATTTTCTAATAACCTCTATTTCTTTTTACGGGATGGCGTTGCTTATTCACACGCATCAACAACAACAACAACAACACACGTTTAGACGACATTTTCCCCAAGATCGGGGGTTGCCGTTTGGCTACCTATGATGAAACCGAAATACCCCTCGACGCCATCCACATCTGTCACTCGCCTCAGTATCACGCAACCCCGCTTTCACCCTGTCCTCCACCTGCTCTCTCCATCCCAATTGCGGACGACCCCTTCCTACCACTCCTTCAACCTCGAACTCCAACGCTCGCCTAATCCCGAACCTTTCATCCCTTCTCAACACATGTCTATACCACCGCAATCTCGATCTCCTTATCAATGTCACAATGTCCTCATTCAGTCCCAACATCGACATCAGCTCTGTACTACTCCTCCTATCCTTCACTTTAACCCCACACATCATCCTCACCATAGCTCTTTCAGCCCTCTGCAGACACTTCCCCC